TCTTCTATCAGGTTCAGTGTGTTCAGATTGATATTGAGGTCTTTGATCCATTTGGACTTGAGTTTTGTGCATGGTGATAGATATGGATCTATTTTCATTCTTCTACAGGTTGACATCCAGTTATGCCAGCACCATTTGTTGAAGATGCTTTCTTTCTTCCATTGTATACTTTTAGCTCCTTAATCCTGCCTGTAATATTGTTGTCCAGTAGAACTTTACGCATGGAGGAAATTGTCAGTACCATCACTTTCAACATGGAGGCCACTAACCTTGCTTAGCTTTTCAATGATTCAAACATGGCTATGCAACTGAGGATTAAAGTTTCAATTTTATTTCATCTTTATTCACTTGAATTTAAATTTTACATAACTATATCTTTCTATTGCCCAGTGTATTTACAAAATACTTACCCAAATTGTTCCCCTTTGGGTCAGTAAAAGGTAATACATTTTCCTTGTAGACCCTCCAAAGCATGTGCTCAAAGTGGTTAAAATTAGCACGCATGCATTATTTGTCACCTACTATGGGACAAATAAGAGCTAGGCACTGAGACTCAAGCAACCCGTGATAATAACCCCTAACCAAAATGTGATGTATCAAACCTACGGACAACTAAAGAACATCTTTTGACTTATAATTTACTCTATTTTTATAGGCTCAAGCAGCTTTTCACCATGTAACTAACAGAAATTTAGTTTAGAACAAGGTTGTGTATGTATACCAAAGCATACATGGGATGGTTTGGTGAGATCTTAGTATCAAGTTAGACTTGTTCTTTATGCTCACTGCAAGTGGAAATATAAGTATAATATGTAGTAGTATATTACAATAGAGTCTTCCCTACTTATTAACTTTCTACATTAATATTCAGCCAGTGAGTGTTCATAATATCAGAAGCCCCCGGTATTTGACCAAGATTTTATTACCAAAGACAGATACAGTTTTCATGTCGGATAATTGTCCTTAGCAAAGTCTCAAAAACCTGTTTGACCTGTACAAAGTCTGGCATTTGTTATTGTAGTAAACAAGGAGAACAGGTGCTCATTTTCCAGAGTGAACCAGGATTGTCAACATTCGTGGCCTCATTGTGGTTTTTCATAGCTGTTTTCCAATATTCAAGGTTCACTGAGCTTTGTCTCCAACAAAAGTAAAAAACAGAAGAAAATCACTAATGCAGATGTGATGTGTTGTGTTCACTGTTTCTGTTTCAAAAACGAATGAATTTCTGCAACAAAGATTAATGAATTTCTGCAGCATGAACTGACACATGACCATGGCTTACAAGGCCAGCCAAACACTTATAGACTATACATTCTGACAGACAAGCTGTATTAACACTTGTAGGGAATTTGAAGTAGTTTGTAAGATGTTTCTAGAATCAAGTTCAAGTTTTGTGTCACCAGACACAACTTGCAGAAAATAGTTGAATCTCCTCATTTTTAATGAGGCAAAACTATGTAACTGCTTTGAAGTCTCAGCAATAAGACATAGAGGGGGAAGGGAAAGGCAGTCAAAGATGACTCAGGGTCACAGATGCGAAAGAAAATAACAAGGTCGGGAAATAATCAAAAGTTTTATTGGTGGTTTTCAGTTAAGGAGAGGAAAGCTGGAGAAGGTGACAATTAGCTCTCTGTCTTCAGCCTGCGTGAAGCTAGACAGATGGGGACTTCCACCTCTGTGGGCTATGATTCACAGCTAATTTGAGAGATTATTAATTGAGCTTTCTGTGACTCAGTGGAGATATCTAAAGAAAACAGAGGCAATTGGAAGAGTCACACAGCAAATGAATGACAAAACAGCTCCTGAATTCAAAGACTTCTATTCTTTTTAGGTCACTAAGCTATTGATGTGCATGTTGCCCTTTTAATCGATACATACAGGATTATGAGTATAAAGCAGTGTATGTATAGTGCATCTCACAGTAGTGATTTAGGCTCAGTAAATACTTCAAAACATGGATATCTGTATTCAAAATGTTTTCTTTAAATAATTTCTCAGCTAATTTAATGTAAAAATATGCAGGTACTTTGTCCACAAGATACACTATTTCATACTTATGAGGAAAAAATATCTATACCTGAAAGTAATGTCTAGTTGTTTCAAGAAAATAATAGGCATTAAAATAACGAATTAGTTGAACAAATGTTTTTGTAATATGATGGAATATATACACATTAGAGTACTACTCAGAGGTAAAAAACAATGACATCTTGAATTTTGTATGCAAATCGATGGAAATAGAAAACACTATCCTGAGTGAGGTATCCCAGACCCAAAAAGATGAACATGGGATGTACTCACTCATAATTGGTTTCTAGCCATAAATAAAGGACATTGAGTCTATAATTTGTGATCCGAAAGAAGCTAAATAAGAAGGTGAACCCAAAAAAAAATAATGAACTAGCATTTATATTTGAAAGTAATGATTTTAACACCTTAATTAAGGACTTCTTTAAATACACATATCCATATTTTAAAGTATTAACTGAACCTAAATTACTACTGTGAGATATATATAGAAATGTAGCCATTTAAAGGTTTGTATTTAATGAAGATATTAAAGTGTATTTCAATATTCAAAATTCCCCGAGGGCATGTGGGCATGGTTTAAGAGGTATCTAGAATAGAAGTGTTTTAAATGTATATGTAATGTGGATAATCAATCATTAGAAATTATAATTCAAATCTTTTCATTTAAAAAGTAGGAAAGAACATAAACTAGTAAGAGAAATTGATTGATTTCTCCTATTTTGCTACAAGTTTTTCAACTTTGGGTAAATTAAGATACAGATCGAGATACCACCTTAGCCTTGACATCTGGATCTTGAGACCTTTGATGATAGCTGCTTGAGGACCTACCCCATAACACCTTTGTCTGTCAAGTGGGCATGAGAAGTGTGTAGGTAACACAGCCCAGAGTATGTCATCTTCATCTCCATGGGGACCTGAGGCAGCTGCCATCAGCAGTGAACAGATTGGATGGAAGAGTTCTCAGGGCCCCATCCTCACCTAGAAATAGACACACTGCCTATGTAGCATATGGCTGTCCTGTTGGGGTGCAGCCTCGAACAGCAGGGTAGCGATACCATGGATACCACACCTCTTGCCTATATTTACACTTGGCATGTTAGTCCACTTTATTTGTTTGCTTAAGGAGGGGGCAAATATTTGCACTCCAGCTTTGGTAAACGAGTCCATCGTCCCAAATATATTCTCTGAGCAGTAAGACTAGAATTTCTCTACTATTTTCAAGTCAGAATTCTAGAAGCTTATCTGTCCAAAAACACACTTGTCTAGGGCTGAGACCACAGTCATGGTGCCCTTTGATGTGCATTCTAGGTGGAGAAATGGGGACAAGAGCAGACCCACGGCACTCTAAATGAGGGAGAAAGGAAATATCATTGTTTTCAGAAAAGGACATTTGCATCCTCAGTCTCTGTGGAGAGGATGCTGGCCTTCACTACAGCCAAGCTTTTAGAGTGACAGGAATTGGTCATCACAAGATGGGTCTCTGAGTGCAAAGAATAGAAGTCAAAGGGATGTGTTGAAAGGGCAACCAGGAGACGCCCATGGACACAAGGAGGAATGAGGAACAGGAAGGTTGTGACCCTCTGTGAAATGGAATCTGCAAACTTGGTTATTTATCAAAGGAAGGAAAAGATAAAATGAAAAACCGAGAAATGTGTCCTTTGTGTCTCAGGGTAAGATGGCCAATTATTTTGTATTAAGCCTGTTGCCAAGTTTAAGAAACTTGACTGCCAGAATGAATCGAGTGGTCTGAAACAGTTGTCATTGGCATATTTTCAATTTTAAGGAACATGTTAAAATCAGCTAAGACAAAAATGTTTTTCTGCGTAATAAAATAATCACTTAATTATGTTTAGATGTGCTGGATTTTTTCTATTTATTTACTTTATTTATTATTTTTGAGACAGGAAAATAGTATGGCTATTGTGAGGTGAAAGAGTTGAAGCATCTAATGTTTTATAGTTAAGTTTGGAGGTTTCTGTGATTGAAGAGATGATTTAGCTGTTAAGAACACTTGCTCACAACTGCCTGTAATTCCAACTCCAGGGGATTTGATGTCTTTACTGGCTTCCATGGACTCATGCACAGAAATGGGACTCTTTCTCTCTCTCTCTCTCTCTCTCTCTCTCTCTCTCTCTCACACACACACACACACACACACACACACACACCACACACACACACCACACACACACACACACACACACACACACATCTATTTTTTAATTGGAATTTTCCCAGGGTCTCACGACAAAAGTAGAAGTTAAGGCCTTAGTACTAGCTTAGGGGAAATAAGTCTCCCAAAGGGACAGTGCTCCCTTCAACAGAATGCTTCTACCTTGGTGACTTGAGATATTCAACTATGTTGTGACAGAATTAGACCAGATAAGATGTTTGATTCAGATCCAGTTCAGTAGAGAAACTGTTTGCATCACTGATGAACAAGCATGGTATTAATAAAAACAATGGTAGAGAGTTAAAAGGATCACAGTGACCCCAAAATGGTCCAGAACTTTTCTTAGTAGAAACCATCCTTGTCTCTCAGACTCAAAGGGAATATGACAACAGTGTACGGTCAAATCAGAGGGGATAGCGTGGTTTCCCTGACCTGTCTACTGTAGTTTGGTATTTACCAGCTGTACTGAGTAGAAAAAGACCAGATTATTTTTAAAGATAGTATTCCACAAGGGAAGAGTCAAGAGAGTTTTAGATACCCCCATGTTTGGAAAAGAAGGTGATAAAAGGCTCCCACTTATTTTAACTCCTGGAGACCTGAACACCTTTATGGAGGAAGAAGAAAGGGATGCTGGCTCAGCATTTATTGCAGAACTGAGTAGCCACTCTGTTCCTCATCACACCCAGATTCTCAGGCGACGTCTAAAATAAAAGTGGCATTACCTGGATTTAGTCCACATCAGTCTGGGCAGACAAAGGTCGCAACTACTTCCTCCTACATAGGTTAATGTATGACTAAGCATATCAGAGCCCACAGCCGATAGTGTGTAACATAACCACAGTCAATAAGTGGTTGTGTCAAACAGCACTGGAAAGGGTCAGAATGAAATCCTAAAAACCTGGGATCATCCCCACCATTATAGCCCCACCATTACAAGCCTCGGCGTCCTCACCCAGAAGAAGCGATAATATAACTGCACTCTAATAAGATTACCAAGGTGACCCAGCAATTACTATGGATCATGCATCCTGAGTACAGAATTTAGTATATTGCAAGCACTCAGTATGTGTATTATGGCTATTGGTATTAAATTTTTATTTTATTGGTGTGTGTGCATGTGTGTGTATGCATGCATATGTGTGTGTGTGGTGCTGCACATGTCCCACGGTGCATATGTGGGGGTCAGAAGACGATTTTCAGGAGACAAGGTTTTCCTACTACAGTGAGTTTCAGTGTCACTCTCAGGGAGGTCTTCAAGTTTGTACCATTCTGAGTCCTTTTACTAGCCGAGTCAAGCCATCTAGCAGGACTGACTTTAAATATTTTATTGAAACTTGTATTTGCATGTTATTTGGTAATTGGAATTTCTTGATTGGTTATTTAAAAAAGTAGTAAAGTGTATTTAAAATACACTCTTCTTCTCACATCCTTAAATATATACCATAGTGTCTCTGAAAAGATCACACCCCTGAATCATACTAAAACAGAAAGACAGAAGGCAGAGAGAGAGGATGTAGAGAGACTGGAGGCAGAGAGAACACCCTGCATCCGAGGGTGCAGAGACAATGATCTGAGAGATATAGGAAGGTGGCAAACACAAGAGTGTGACAGGAACAACTTTCTATGATTAGTACTTCATGTCAGTATTTCCCAAGGTTCCCACCACATCTCCAGGCACAAATGTACCCAGGGCATTTGGAGATTAGTTTTTAAATCGCTCTATTCCATCTATCTGGGGATGAAGGAGAGAATAAGGGAGAGAGGGACAGGCTATGGTGTCTTATTTAATTAGAGAATAATCATAAGCATTTCAGATTGTATAGTAATTTATTATTTTTTTTTAGGACTGGAGAAGCTTGCACAAAAAGGAAAATCACTGTCCCCATTAGCAAGCATAACTGGAATATCACTGTTTTTGATTATATCCATGTGTCTTCTTTTTCTGTGGAAAAAATACCAACCTTACAAAGGTAAGTTAAAATTAGAAAAAATACATTTTAGAAACATTGCAAAAAAAATTACCAAAAACACCTTACTCTATTTTTCCCTCTCTTGCTTTTAGCTATAAGGCAGAAGCTAGAAGGCCGGTAATGTATACATTTCTGTGAAAAGTAAGAAAAACATTTTCCGTCAATCATAACCTTTGATTAATATGTCTGTTTGTTTTTTTTTTTTTTTTCAGACCAGAGTCAGAATACAGAAAAGCTCAAACCTTTTCAGGTAATGGCTAGACTGAAAAGGACTGTTATCCATAGCGATGTATATTAACTAATCATCAGTGAGTACCAGGGATGTTTACAGACAGGGCTGTCAACGTAGCAGAATTAATAGAAGCTGATATTAGCACAACCACAGTCCCTGTATTGCTCAGTGTCCTCCCTTTACAAGGTGAGCCACACAGATCTGGGGAATACGCGAGGGAAAGACCGTCAACTCCGTATACAGACAAGGCAACTAGAAACCAGAGAAGTGAAGATGGGTTCCGCTCCATTCTCACTCGTTGGCCTTCTCATCATTAGTCTGTCAAAGCAAAAGGAGCCTTTGTAGTTCCCGGAGGATGTACAATGCTAGCTATACAATCCCGCAGGAGAGGAAGAAATGGAAGTGTAATAGGGGCAGTCCTGTTCTTTGTCCGCAGCCGGTCCTCACTACCTTCATTGTTAATTCTGTACTGAGCTGGTCTAAGTTAACAATGGAGCTTATGTGCGGATGGTGGTGTCACCAGGAGCCAGGTCTCAGTCCTATATCTGCCACATTACTCTTGGGGAAATTACTTTTCTTGACCTCAAATTCCTTATCTATATAACAGTGACATAAACTTCCTCCTGGGGCTGCTGAGAGAATTAAAATAAAATGACTTTAAGAGCCGAATGTGACTCATCTCCAGTCTCTTACAGTAATTGGGCATCACAGAAGGGAAGGGTCCCAAACCATCTGGCTCCTCCAAACTACCTTTGCCCTCTTCATTTCCAAGATGAAGTTCGGATGGTGTTCCTATTATGTTGCAGTGGCTTTTATGTGTCTGTGCCACTACTGTTATTGATCATTCTTTTCTAATATTCTCCGTTAGATCTGTCGAAGCACAGTCGATATTACAAGTGCATCAAAGGTTTCTGTGACATCCAGGCTAAGGCCTCGGTGGTCTTCAATCCATGATCCTGTCTACATATGTGTATTTGAATATAGAATACAGTATTTCACATCAGACCTTAAGAATAATTGGTCAAGTTCAGTTTCATTTTTCCTTTTGAGAAGAAGTTATTCCCAAAACCATTCAATGCCATTATGACCATATAGTACTAGGTAATATTAAATGGTTTCATGCAAATATCACTTAAAACAGACAATAAAGATAAGTTCTGTGGCTATTCCCATGAAACAAAAATAAATGCATGCATTTTTAAATATCAGAGGGAAGCATTGCTTTTGTAAGCAGTGTTCTTTTTCCTTTCAGGCCACGAAGATGCTCTGGGTGACTTCGGAATATATGAATTTGTGGCTTTTCCAGATGCGTCTGGTATTCCCAGGGTTGGTTTTCCTAGTGGCTGATTAACCAAGAAGTAGAATTCTGCTTTCCCAGAGGTGTAAGCAGCATTCATTTAAGAACGAGGGCAGGGGCTGGAGAGATGGCTCAGAGGTTAAGAGCACTGGCTGCTCTTCCAAAGGTCCTGAGTTCAATTCCCAGCAACCATATGGGTGGCTCTCAACCATCTGTAATGAGATCTGGTGCCCTCTTCTGGCCTGCAGGCATACATGGAGGCAGAACACTGTATACATAATAAATAAATAAATAAATCTTAAAAAAAAAAAAAAGAACGAGGGCAGTGATGTCCAAAGGCATCTCACAATGTTGACTCACTGTATACTGAGATCTGTGGCACTAAGGCATTTTTTCTCATTTTCTTCTCTTATAGAGCTAGTAAAACTGACACAAATAAGGAAGTTACGCCACTTAAAAAATACTCTTTACCTGATATAGTCTATGAATAAAGAAGTAACTAGGTTGAATATAGGGATAAAAGAAGAACCAAGGACCAGGAGTTCCTAACAAATTATTCCATGTTGTTTCAGTGACCACTCTGTTCCTCAGTTTCCTTCCTTTCTTCCTCATAACTTCCAATATCTTTTCAAAGATATTTGATCACATCCTTGAAGTTACCTGCTTGTCATGAGGAGTTATTGTATAGTAAAAACCTAATAATATACAGGTATATGTCTTCATTACTCTACACCTAGGCTAAACGCAGGGTCTTTTACAGTTGAAACCATTTGTTTTCAGCCAGTCTCTTTTTAAAACATTGCAAATGATCAGTTTGGTGCAGAATGTATCCCTGACTTACTAGCTCGCGAGCACTCATAGGATGTAAAGCACCGGGTTGTCCTCTGTCTCCTTGCTCCCCTATAATAGTCCACTCAGATGGGACCAAAAAGTGACTGCTTGCTTCTGGGTGTTCTTTCTGCCATTATTTAGAAAAGAACTACTTGCGATGAGAAAATGGTCCCTTTGCTCTCAGCATTCTGTCTCCCTGTGTGCTTCATCCAGAGAGGTTCATGGCTACAGACTTTATTACAGAAATGTAATGTCTTTTTACCAGCTTGAGACATGAGGAGGACTGTTGGCTTCACCATATTCTTTCGGCTAAGCCATCCTTGCATGTGTGATTGACAAAATCTGTCCAAAAGAGCAATTAAGACATAATGTAACAGTTATGCGTGCTGGCTAGTTCTAAACTGTAAGGCTGTGTTTTTTTTTTTTTCATCTCCCTTTTTGCTACTCTTCTTCTTTTCTGTACAGTATTCCTAGCTTTCTTCTCCAGTGACGAAGAGGGTGGCAGGATCTCCAAGCTATTCCTGAAGTAAATAAACAGGGCAGCGTGAGAGCAGGAGGAGGAGCAAGGAGGAGGTCACGTTCCTGAGGCCGCCCTCAAGCTGCAGCATACTTCCAGCTAAGCTCAGGCTAAGTTTCTTCCTTTAAAGTTCTGTGTTTTCTAGATGCCGAATAGGTCCGGCCCAGCCCCTGACGGTGTGACAGGGCAAGATTTCCACGGCACCGTTTATGAGGTTATCCAGCACATCCCTGCTCAACAGCAAGACAACAACAGTAAGTCTGAACCTGCGTTTGGTGGGTGCAGTGGAGGATCTCAGAGGTTAGCTTCTGCTTTCCTGAGGACTTATGTGTAGCCCCCCAAAAAATACTAACACAAGAAATGATAGCTTCAAAACATGCAAAATTCTTCAAGATACATCCTCATTTGAAAATTATTTTGAAAAATGAAACAGGTAAGACTATAAATATCACCTAGAGACATGCATGTGGGCAGGTAGACAGAGGCAGAGCTCTGGAATTGCCTGTCTGTTGCGTATGTTCCTCCCGTTTGGTAGACTCAGAGGAATCCACATTTGGGTATGAAAGGCTCAGTCAGGCCAGTGCTCAAGCCATCTGTTCATCCTCATGACTTTGCAGTGACCGTAGTCATTTCATGGCCACAAGCCTCCATGACTAAAGGAAAGGCCAGCAGAAGGCTACCAGGGAAGAACAGCTCAGTCACATCCAAGGCCTAGCATCCTCCCATTCGAGCCTATTTCCGGGTACATAAGATTGGTCCCTCTGAGGACAAACCCTGTTTTGAGGATAAAGGCAGCAACCCACTTACCCAGTTGAACTCAAGGTCATTACTAGAAGATCTGTCTCTTTGCCGTGTAGGAGCTAAGCCCATAGTTTTTTGGAATAATGGAATCAACTTTGGTTTATGTGTGTGTAGCTGCCTGAGGCCTAACTGCCACAAATCACCTTCCACCCTTTCTTTAGCTGTCATTTGTTGACTTTAAAAAGAACAGCAGTAACCACACCCAGGAACTTCCCCTTTGGCAAATGGAGCGGTTCCAACAAAATAGTTCCTGGGTGAAGGTTGAGACTAGCAGCCAAGAGTGCATGAGAGCGGGGAGAGTCCTCTGACGGGGAGGAGCACACATGGACCTCGGCTGTTGTTACCGTGTGTCACAAGAACCCTCAGAGGACCCCATCAAAGGGAACCGCACACGAAGTCAGGGAGATGAAATAGTTCCTAGTGGAACTAAGAATTTCTAGTTTGAAATTTTAAAAAATGTTATGGATTGAAGCAATGTATTCATAGACAGTTCAAGGAGGAGGCACAATACCATGACTCTTGGAAAATCAAACACTAAATTCATACCAGCCTCTCTTTGTTTCTGAAGCAAAAAAGTGAGGGAATGTTTTGTTTTTAATCTTTTCTTTTTTGACTAATAAATATTAGTTGTGCATAGTTATGGAGTACAATATAATGTTTTAACCCATGTATACATTGTGTATTGATGAAATCAGATTAATTAGCCTATTTCTCACCAGAACTCCTGAGATCATGTCTGTCTGCTTTCTAAGATTGAATCCAGTAAATAAATAAATTAATTAATAAACATAAAACTTGTCTTGGAGCTGGGGAAATGATTCAGTTTGTAAAGCTCTCGCCATGAAAGTGTGAGAGCCTAAGTTTGGATCCCAAAACCCACGTAGAAAGCCTGATAGAGCAGCAAGCACGGGGAGACACAGGGCTGCGAACCAGAGACAGAAAAATCCCAGGAGTTTGTGGGCCAATCAGCAAGCTCCAGGTTCAGAGAGATCTTGTCTCAAATAAAAGATGAGAGAGAGAGTGCAAAACAATTGAGGAAGACACATGATGATCACACACACACACTTACACACACACATGCAGGCACACATGCACATACATCTGCTTACACATACACCCATATACAAGTGCACACACAGAAACACATTTATACATCACATACATGCACATATATACACACACATAAAAATTATTAAGATAATTTTGAAATCTCTCCTGTTTAAATTCACTTGTTTTTCTACATAACTTGTGTTATAAATATCTACTTTTACTACTAGAATGCCAAAAAAAAAAAAAAAAAAAAAAACAATGAAGACCCAAAGTTTGTCGTTTAAGAAAGTCTCCTAACACTGAAATAAATGGAAAGTTGTGATTATAGCAGGATAACTCCAGGATACAAAATAAAGTAAATGAGTTAAATTTGCATCTCAAAAAACTAATTTCTCAAAAAATAGTTTTTTTTAAAAAAAATCACGCAATTTTTTTTGATGCCTGTCTGAAATAAAAAAGATCCTCAAAAATCCTCAGTCCAATAAAAGTTTATTTCAGAAACAATTTCTGCTGGTTGAAAACAAAGCAAAACTGCTTTCTCAAGCAAAGAACTATTTTAAATTACAGGGCATCAGATCCTGCCCCACACTCCAATACTAGTGCTCTCCCTCCGCACCGCCCCACCCAGACCCCCAGCCCTGCCCGTGGACCCCCTCACATTCCCATCTTCTGAGACCTGGTCATTTGTTTTGTTTCTCTGTGTGTCGTCCAATGGCTTTCTCTCCCTTGACCTTTGAGTTTGCCCCTTCTCTCCAAGACATTAAGATTATCCCCTGCCACACACAATTCCTTTCTTTTTTAAGGATGCAAACATAAACAGCATCTTACGACACAAAGTGATGAATTAACCCTTTTAAGTGTTCCCTTTTGAATCATACAATCAGGAAGCCAACATTTCAAATTTGTATTTGCTTTTTAACACAGATTTAGGCTACTTATCTTAAATTTCAAAAACAGATAGAGTACTTCGGGTTTTTCACCAAAAATTATTTTGTAACTATCTACATAAATCCACAGATATTGTCAGGGTCTTTGCTGTGTTCCAATGAGCAGGATTAAATAACACCCAGTCTTTTAAGACTTTCCTAACTTTGTAGACTCCTTTTTGCTTAACCAAGGATCTTTCATAAAGTAAATATTCTTTCATAGGATGAAAGTTGCCTGTAGCTGCACGGATGGTTTTGTCTTCTGATTGTTTGTGGTTTCTTTATGTCCTATTACATTTGAAGATCAATTTCATGAATAGTGAGCACATAAGCTGCTGACTCTGTCCATCCCCCTCTCCCCAAGTGAGTGAGCAGGTTCTGGGGGAAGAACTCTTTCTTACTGCTTTCTCTAACCTTTACTGAGAGCCTTTTCCAAGGTAGGACAGCTGCTTAAATAATTTCATTCTTTGACCTTTAAATTGTGTGTGTGTGTGTGTGTGTGTTTAGTACATGGTGGCAAATTGGACTCCTGTTTAACAAATCAGTAAATTGGTCTCTGTTCATATGCTAGCACTCACCACAAGGATTCGCTTATTGAACAGAGTTGCATTTACTGAAATATTATTCATCGATGCCATTAAATGACCTGGCCCAGAATGTTTTGAACTCAAGTTTGGTTGTTCTTATCTTCAAATTTTTATTGAGTTTTTGCATAATATATTTTAATTATATTCTTTCCCACCCCTTCTAGATTCTCTCAACCTCCCAATACATCCAAATTCAGGATCTCTCAATCTCTCTTTCTCTCTCTCTCTGGAAAAAAAAGAAAAACAATAAACAAGGAATTAAATAAAAAGATAGAAAATCTATAGGACAAAAAATAAACAAATAAGCCAAAACCAAGACTGTTTTGTGTTGGCCTGGGCATGGGCATGGAGTATACTCCTGACACACAATTGGAGAAAATCGAATTTCCCTTTCCAGCCAGTATCAGTGACAAAGAGCTTCTTGGTCTTGGTTAGAGGTGGAACTTTGTGTCCCCTTCCCCTTCCCCTTCTCGGGGCTAGAATTTCCTCTGGTTTGAACGTGTGCAGGCCCTGTTATTACAGGCATCAGTCCCGCTGTGTCCAGAAGACACTGTTTTCTTCATCATCTCTGGCTCTTAAACTCTTTCTGTCCCCTCTTCTGCTTCATTCCATGAGCCAGGAAAGAAGGGGTTTGATAAAGACACCCCGGCTAGGGCTGAGTTCTCTGACTCCCATACAGTGTCCTCTTGTGGATCTCTGTGTTAACTACCACCTAGTGCAAGAGGAAGTCTCTCTGATGAAGGTGGAACAATGCTCTGTGCTTGGATATAATGATATATAATTAGGATACATTTTATTGCTATGTTCCTTTATCAGAATAATAGTAATAGGTTTTCCCCCAGACCCATCATCTATCTAGTATCAAGTTCTTGGCCACTTTAGCAGTGCCTCATGGAGTGGACCTTAAAATCAATCAAAATGTAGTTGGTTATTCCCATGGTTATTATTATCATCTTGAAAACTAGACATCTAGATATTTAAACCCTGAGTTCTAACATGTAATTATCTACAAAATGATTGTTTACCCTTTATACTATTGATTGATAGAGTTTTCTTGATCAGCTCAAATACTGATATTCTTCCACTTCACAGCTATGGAAAGAAGAGAAAGCAGTTAAATCTCATTTACCCACAAACCTAGAAATCTATAGAACACTTACTATAGCTGATGTATCTCTTCACCAGGTGAGATTCTACAGCAAAACAGTGCATTGGAGAGAAATAATGAAGGGACATTTTGAGAGAAAACATCTGGAATCTCTGAAGAAATAAAACCCCAGCACCCCTCGGTCACACTTTTAAATGCAGAGTGCCGACTAAATGGCAGGTTTTCTGACACACAAGCAATGGGCTGTGTGACAGAGGAATGCGGACACTGCTTATCAGCCCGACTGGGAGGAAGAAGACAATGAAACGTCCCAGGTGCTCTGTATGTGCAGGCTTTCAGGCACCCCAGTTGTGTTCACCTATGCTCCACACTGATACTGCCCTGTGCCACCTACTAGGAAAGTTCCTACTAGGAGACTTTATCTTTGTAAATGTCATGATGAGCTTTGTTTTGTTAAATGTTTGTTACTATTATGATACTCAAACACCTTTGTTGTCCCAAATTGATTCCTTGTTATTTGTGTCAAAAAATATTAAGGATGTTTAACACAAAGGTAAGCCTATGCCTTCTCCCTGGTTGGCAATGAACTTAGTTATCAATGCTGTTCCTGAAAGGACTTACAAAATGTTTAAGGAAATGGCTTGGTAAAGTCTCATTTTTATTTTCGTTCAAAGAAGGAATAAACTAAAGTAAATTATTTTGTTTTGGTTTTACAGAGCCTTGATTATTTAGATTGTAAGGTCCTACTTTAAAGTCAGATAAGAGTACAGATTTTTTATTCTTATTTACCATTGTACAAATAAAATGGACATTGTGGAAAATTATTAAAAATCAAAACCTATTCTCTCATGGTTGTCTACTTTATGCAGAAAAACATTATAATAGAACTTCCTTTTAATATATTAGAAGTAAACATCTCTACCTGCCCTGTCCTATATTTTCATGAAGGCATATGGTGAAAGTAAGGTGAAAACTGAATCTCACAGTTCCTTTCTGTCTTCTAGCCTTGCAACATTTACAGATCTTTCTGATGAAAAAGTCCTTGCTAACACAAATACTTTCTTTTGGACTTAGTATAAACATGAACTAAACTGTCTGATTAGAAATTCATGGTCACCATAAGCATAAACATACGTCTGGTTCTGCAAAACATTAAAATCCCTGTCCTACCTTCCAGAAGCATTGGCAGAACCACCCTGCATTATTCATATGTGTATCGTATTCCTCCAAGCCCCGGAAGAGGTTTCTAATCTAAACGCACAGATTACAAGGTCAACTATAACTCAGAAAATAATGCTGTGAAGAAAAGCAGAGGAGCAATAAGATGAGATGCAAAGCAAAAGCAGAAGCGAGGTTATAACCGGTTCGTTGAATTTCCCTTTCTCTGAGTATTGTCAAGAGACAAATGCAGGCGTGTCTCATAATGGCATTCTCAGCTGCCTGTGGGTTCTTCAGTGCCATGGGCCCTTGCCACCTCTGCCCCACCCCCTTTCTCAGTCTCCTGCTCCCTGTTCCTGGGGTGTGTGTGTAAAGGTGGTGGGTTTCTGGGGGGGGGGGAGCTGCTATCTGCTGATACATCTCTCAGTAGGAGAGCAGACTGTGAGTTCTGTGCGTTTCTGACTTCCTCTTTCCAATCCTGAACATTTTCATCCAAAGAAAACCTTCAACAGCTTCCTTGTAATGCATGCACATGCTATCCAAATCAAATCTTTTTTTCATAAGTGTGCATCAAGAAAATATTTTACTAGTTCTGAAGTTAGCTTGTTTGTTCATCTTTTGACATTTTCTCACCCAAACCAGAGGAAATACTAAATAATATTTTTTTCAAACTCACTTTCCAGTCACTTGTAATTCTTCTCATTTCTGTATCTCTCTCTCTCACACAAGCAGACAGAATCCCTTAGTGCCTGGTTCCACTCAGAGCAGCAACAAGGAACCGCTGAAGGGAGAAATGGGAAAAGATCTCGAATCCAATTAACTTTTGCCTTCATTGGTGTGGAACGCCAGACGATGACTTGCTGCTTTTTTAGTAAATGGGGATGGAAATCTCATAAATTAATCAAGGTTTTCAAGGGAAGTGATGAACCAAAACCCAGATGTTCATGTAATTAACAAATTAATCTTTTTAATAAACAGCCAAAAGTTCTCTTCTTATTACTAAACACAATCTTCACTCTTGTTGGGTTTTAGATGTTACCACTGATCATTTGGGAGAGTCCTGACCTCATACTGTTTTCAAATGCCACTCTCTAGGAGTGGGTTCCAAGCAAAAAAAAAAAAAAAAAAAAAAAAAAAAAAGAAAGAAAGAAAGGAGAAATACATGGAATACAGTTTTCTGTTTGTATTTCCATGCAAATAAGGCAGCTTCAATTAAATTGGCACAGTCTCAGAAATCAGATCCACATGAACCTTCAATCTAGATGATATCCCTTCAAAAGTTTTTTTACAATAATAAAATTTGAATAATAACAGTAAATACAGCGCAAGGGGGTAGCTATTTTTACTGTGTTTCTCTAAGTGTTTTTTTTTAAGAAAGTCCTTGTTTTCTGCTTCTACATTATCATTTGTAATCATGTTTATTCGTGTCGTTCTTTTTGTTCACCTATAGGTGACATTCAAGCATGCATAAATATGTTTTAGTTTCGTGAGACAATAAGAAAGCAAAGGCAAAGACACAGAAATTAGCCATGGATTTGTGTATTACCCGTCTTCTCAAGTACTAAAGTATGTTCGCTTTACAGGGAAAGAAACTGAGACTGAGGCGTTCAGTGATTCCCAATGACGGTGAGTGGCGGAGCTGATCTTATAACTCGCTGTCTGGCTCCAAGCCAGGGGCAGCACCCCTTGCCAAGTCACCACATGTGTCTCTGGACATGGCATCCAGAAGCAGAGCACAAAGCAATGTGTCTTCTGCCAGCCTTGCCTTAAGAACTGTATTAGCTTGCAATCAAATTTACTCAAGTTTACTCGCTTGTTTATTTGTTTATGTCTGAGAACTTTCCCATTTCAATATGTTCCCAGGAAAGATGACAGCCCAAGGGCTTTCCTCTGACAGAGGGTAAACTGATAGATTGTTTCCATGCCTGAGACAATTCCCAGCACAGCTCTTCTCACATCTGACATAAACAATTGTCTCAAAAGCTAGAGCTTCAGCGACCCACTGCAGGCCTGCCCTTCTGAGAGTCGGCTGTGGCCTCTTTCCTGACACACACATTTTAGAACCCACACACTAAATACCTTTTGAACTCCACCGAGCTGAATTGCATGCCCTCTCTTCTGTATGTTTAATAAAAATGTCATGTGTATGAGACAGATAAATTACCTTGTTTCTAAAAGCCAAGCTCCCTTGACTCCCAAGGTCACTTAATAATATCGAGAGCTGTTTTTTCTTAGAGTTTACCAAGACCCTATTCAAGTTGTTTGTTCTTTAAATGGAATTTTGAAAGCATGATTGCATCTATACATGTCATTTTCATTACTTACAAAATAACGTTTACTGCTTTGTAGGATACAGATTGCTGGTCACCGGGCATTTTAGGGATAGTAAAACTGAGACTCAGATATACTGGGCCTCAGTTTTGCTCTTAAAACTTGCAGGAACTAAGTTTAAAAGGTCTCTTCCTCACTTGAATTTATCACACAGTGAGCTGGGGGCATGATTTACTGGTATAATACCGACTGGGTATGTGAAAAATCCTGCACTGCACCGGCAGGAAGCCATCATTCAGAGGGCTCCACGTTGACCGTGGACTTCCTTTCGCTCTCATTGCTCATCTATTGAAGTCCTTGTCACCTTACTGTAATTGTGCTGTGAGCCAGTGATATAAAGAGTTCATTACAATGCTGTGCTCTAAATACGGCCATAGGAGTTACGCAAGACAATTGAGGAAACTTTCTCATATATGATATCACAGTTAAAGAAGAGTCGATCGGCTTTAGAGCATGTGACATGAAGCACTGCTGGTCATACATGATAAGAAAATATTCCAGGCAGATAGGCAACACAAGGAACATGTGGAAGGGTATTTGGAAAATAAGCCTGGTAAGAAATGTAAGCTTAATTATGTTGGTAACATTCTGTTAACTGTCTTCCATGTGTCAAAAGACAGAGAAAGATCAGCTATCATTCACTATCTTCTAAAAACTTAAAATCAGTCATAGAAATAGCAGGGTGTCTGATAGTAATACCAGGAACGATTAACATACAACATAGCATACTAACTATGAAAGAATAACACAGAACACACCATGGAAACTTCTGTGAGTCCTTCAGATAGAGTCCAGAGGATTCAAACATGGATCCTGAAGAAAGTTGAGCTGACTCTCCAAGGACCAAGAATCATCCAGGTGAGGACTTGTGAGGGAAGCTTTGAAGGAAAGAGAACTGCTTGGGTAAAGTCTTGGTGGCGAGTAGCATCGTGGTCCAGCTGAATAACTGTCAATAATACCATAGTGATGTAACTGGGGCATAGAAAAGCAAGGACCAATGAGAAGAAAGTGGCATCCTGTGACTGGCATACTCAGCCCTTCTCTATGTTATTTTCTTGGGTATGAGCAAACATTTCCCAGCAGCCTCTGCTAGAATTCCATTAGTATTTTCTTGACCAAACTAGTTAAATGTCCTTCCCCAAAGCAACTGGTGTCAAAGGAATGGAACAAATTTGCTTAAAACAATACTCAGAATTTAGTCCTTGGAGATGAAGATAAAGCCAGTATCCCCAGAAGTGCATGGCCAGTGCTGGGGAGTAGAATAACAGATAAATTGGGTGTGTTTTTTATGGAAATAAGGAAAGGGAATAAACACATGTGAGAGGATGAGGTGGAAACCAGCTCACAAGGAAACACTAAGTACCCTTGAATAAATCAACAAAAGTCCAAGTGAATGAAGAACGCTTAAGAAGTCATACTTAAATGAGCAAGAGAGAAGTTTGGGAAGAAACCTAAAATGACATCAGGGAGGGTATACTGATTTTGGTGTTGTGCAGCTACAAATACTTAAGAAAAATAAGGTTCCTCTGTTTGCACTGGCCTCCCAAAGCCATTTTCTTACGCAAGTATTCTTTAGTGAGATTTTGTTAGTTTAATAAATACATGTATATTATAGAATTACTTTCGTTATGACTATTATTTTTCCACATTAAGGAATAGTAACAATAGAAATTTTGATTCATGATTTCAGAAAAAAAATGCTATGACAATAGAGGCTGGCCTGGAAGGCAATCATAACCGGATGCTAACAAGTATTTTTGCTTGATCTCTTGTCTATCAAATAACTTCTGACCTCACCTAGTTTCCCACACTGTGGAGGAAATTGCCTACCATCCTCCTACTGCTCCAACAGAAAGGCTGAAAGCAATTCAAACTTTCACCACCAGAAGAGTTCCAATCTGCACAATAAATTGCATCATGACCATACATGAAAACTCTCTTTTGTCTCCTTTTCCATTTGGAAAACCCTTGTTTATTCTTTGAGATCATCTGTGCCATGGTGA